CTGAAATCCAAGAACGTGAAGAAAAAGAGAAAGACGGCGGAGAATGCAGAAGAAGTTACGGAATGGACGCGTTACAGAGGCGTAAGACGGCGACCATGGGGGAAGTTCACGGCGGAGATAAGGAATCCGGAGAAGAAAAAGGCGAGATTATGGTTGGGTACTTACAACACCCCGGAGGAAGCTGCTGTGGCTTATGACAAAGCAGCTTTTATATTCCGTGGCACCAGAGCTAAAGTCAACTTCCCTCTCTTACTCCGCCACGGTGATTGTAAGCCGGTGTCGTCTTCCTCCTCGTCGAATTCAGATGATGGAAAATGCAAGAAGAAAATAGTGGTGGATCAACCCACGACGACCACCACCACGACATCCTGCAATGTGGGACAAGATGATTCTTCTCCCACAACCACCCTAGAAGAACCGACAACTACCACCAACGTTACAGCCATGCAGGATGTGAGAAATGAATGCATCCGGAGAGAGTCACCGGGAAGCAATGCACATTCGCCAACGACCTCTGTAAGCCTTGACTCGTTATGGAATTTCCAAATGAGTACATTTCCCCCGTTATCACCAACATTGTCTATCGACGACTACATCGGGCATTCTAACGAAGCATCCTCCGAGATCGATAATGTGAGTAGTTTGGATGACTCCTTGTCCACCACCATTCATGCTTGCCGGGGAGTTGTTACTGATGATTACTGGCCTTCCGATGCAGAGCCGGTGGTTGGTATGGCCACCACGACCTTTGTACTTGCGGAGGAGAGTTGCGAGAATGACTCTTTTTGGGACACATTAGTCCAAAATACAATTGACTCTCCAACCACCACCTCCACGTCCGAAGATGTGGAGATGTACATTGGTGATATTGTTGACAGACTATGGAATTTCGAAGTTGATGTATCGACGTCGGCGTATTTCCCGTCGACCAATGTGGAGTCATATACATTAAACATGACAAGCAAAGCAGACGACGGCGGTAGTGAACATGACCCTTTGTGGGATCTCCAAATTGATACATTAATACATGATGATTTATTTTTTCTTTGACTGTTTGTAAAAAGAAAATAATGTTTAGATAAGCCAAGGAGAAAATTGAAAATTTAATCCTTACGGTTTTGTAAAAAATTAGGACTTTCCTCCTTGGAGTTGCACCACCATTTTCATTTTCATTTGTTGTTACTTTAATCCATTTTAGAATTATATGTGTTTGAATTGATATTTTTGTCCTTTCCTATTATATTTTTATCTTTTCTTTATTTACTTTATTATGCATTTAACTAAAATAAAACAAGAAACAAAATATACACTCACCTCACCCACATCCCTCTTTCTAGACTCTCTCTTTATACTTTTTCACCATAAACCAATGCCTATGTTCGAAACCACCACCACCATCGTTGGAACTCTCTCTCTCTCTCTATCTCTCTCTCTCTCAAAAAAAAAAAAAAAAAAAAAAAAAAAAAAAAAAAACTAACTGACTAACTAACTAACTCTTCAGATGGCTCAGGTGAACACTTCTCGAAGCACTTTAATTGTAGAAGACAAATTGATATGGTGGTGCTTCGGTGATATGGGTGAGAGCGAGTCTGAGGTGAACGAAGAGATGGTGGTGGTTCGACAACTTAGGTGAAGCTAAGGGAGAGGTGGTGGTGCTTCACTTCTTCAGATCCGCAAGAAGCCTCACTTACTTAAGTTACCTCATTCGTCGAAAGCTCCACACAAACAACTCTGGAACAAACATATTTACAAAAGCTGATCCGAGGAAAGAAAAGGGTGGGGTCGGCGGTGGTTATCTCTGGCGTAGCGAGGGTTTTCAGATCGATGTTCTGGTAGGTGGTGGTGGTTATTCATATTATTCTGGTAGAGTTCAACAAACATATTTACAGAAGCGACGAAGTTCAAATCGACACAACACAGCACAGTGACTCTAAAGACAGCGTTCAGATCTACCCCATCAGAGTTTGTATGGATGGTCCAACGTCGCATGTTGTTCCATTCTCGTTTTTCTTCTCCAACGATGTTGGCCCCTAATAGTGAGTGTGTCGGAGAGAGGTGGTAATCCGGTAACGATGGTGCTCCGACAGGTGGTGGTGGTTCATTACCAATTGAGAGAGAAAGAGAGGGAGAGAGAGAGAGAGATGGTGTTTGTGTGTTACTAGATGCATGTGGGTGGGATATCGTGACAACCCAGAGAATACGTCACCAAACGCCATTAACACTTAACCATAGGACATAACAATGTAATAAGGACAACCTTATAACTACCCGATATATTTTAATATATTCGAAATTTTCACCATTAATTACGTCAACCATTACGCTAAAAAATAAGTGTGCAAAAAGTTGCGTCACTTTGAGAGCAAGATAACATATTTAGACTCCTTAAGCTACCACGATACCAAAAATATAAATTTCGTAATTATCCGACATAGTATGCTGGAGATATAACAGTTATGGTAAATTTATATCTACCATAACTAAAAAGTTACAATGACAAAAAATACAAGGAGATTGGTTGACCTTTAGAAAAAGTCACCAACTAGATAATCGTAGTACTAATTAAAGTAGGAATTATGAGGCAATGAACACCTAAAACGGACATCACGTGTAGGAGTTATGATTTTTATAAGACTATAACGATAATAAAGCATGTCCAAAACGAAAGTCAAAAATAGACAAAACGACCAAAAGAAAAGTTGTAGAGAATGATGATACCTACATGAATATATAAAAGTCGATGAGAACGGAGTTCGTATGCGAGAATTACGAAATTTCAAAGTTGAATTTTTACCATCACGCGCGCTCGCACGCACTGACACCCGATTGTGTCGAGATACGGGATGATGTGTCACACTGAGATGAGGACACATGACACGATTGTGCAGTTCGTGTGTATTTGAGCGGAGCACGCTCCAAACCTGCTATTTATAGCAGGTCTCGGCAGATCATTTTCTCACATCATTCTCGAATCCTCTCTCTGAAATCGCCTCGTGTGCTATCGCCACTCGAAGTTCTAACTTATGGTTTCTACCCTACCCCAACGTTTTCAAACTCACAGGTGAGTTCACAAACCTATTTTCAACTATTTTGTGTAGGGGGAGGAGGGGGTAGGAAAACATGTCTAAAATACAACTTTACATAGTAAATAGTAATTATAGTTAGATAATTTTCTCCATAGCATTAGGATAATATTATGTGTGGTAGTTACTCTTCCCAAAGTCTTTCGCTAATATTATGCCTAGTCGTTATGCTGAGTCGCTATGATAGATAAGATATTACCTAGTTGTCATGCTGGCTAGTTTCCATGAAACGCTGAAACTCATTATTATAGCCAACTTTAGATAAGCTTAGTATACTGTATAAAATACAACGTGAATAACAAAACAACTGACCAAGGGAGGCCCCCATGACAAGATTTAGATGAGACACAATTCATCAACACGTTGATTGATATTCAGTTAGCACCTGACCTGTAATCGGTAATTCTTAAATAAGATAGAGAGATATGTATAGATCTCTATGGGATTGACACTCTCACCTATGGTTCTTAGCTACAACCCGACGGCAAGTCAAAGCAGTCATAACTTTCTTAACACAATGATGGCCGATGAAGCGTCGCGATATTTCCTTCAGGATCAACAATCATAACACGACTATAGGAACTCATCGTAACTTTGTCAAACTAAAACTACCTATCATAAACTACTATTAGGATTAATCCAACTAAGTAGTGATAGTTCTCACAAACTCGATGAAGGGAGTTTAGATCAAACAGCACTCAACTATCTTAGACTCCCACTAGGAACCTACCTATGGAAGTAGCAATAGTAATCATAAAATAAAGGAAGTGAGTTTAAGATAAACAAAACAACTAAATTACCCACACATGTTTTATAACAATAAAACCTGTAGACTCACAAACATGATGTTAACATCTCAAGCCATAGGTATTCTCAAGAGAATGAAATCGTCTGAAGAAGGAGATAACCCGGTGATGCAGCCCGAAACCTATGTGTTTTACTTTTGTACTTTGCTTTCATGACCTACCTATACCTCGAACAACTGTGTAATATATTTTATTTAATGATTAAATACTATGTTGTTTGGTACATCCTATGTATTATTCAATGCATATCCTGGTCTGAAATCCCAACATCCTAACATCGCACAGCATGGCACTTTCGCCGCTGGCTAGGGGTGTGACAGATTCGTATTAGAGCTACAGATTATAGCGAAGTAGTCATTCTTTAGGAAATACAACTATGATCTAGGACTAAAGTCTGATTACGTTTAGCCATCAAAGCATAATAATAATAGTTATTAATATTAATTACTCTACTTCTTGACTACTTATGGGAGAGGTGTCTAGTTTGAACTATCACTTGGGTTGCTGGATTTCAGAACGGCTATATGCTAAAATGATCCTGCCCACTGGTACTTCTCATCTGGTTGATCCTTACTTGATATTCTTGCAGTACAAAACCCTAAAATACACCTAAACCAACAAAGATTAGGAGCAATAAATATACGCTCAAATAAGTATATCTACTACCCAACAGTATGAACCCACGAAGTCGCAACTCAGCATTTTAGGTCAAAACCCATATTTAGAGTCGGTGTAGTACAGTTGTCGTACCACAACTAGACCTAGAGTGTGCAACTAAGTTTTAATATGGTTCAACCGATGCAAGACCGAACTCTGGTATGACGGTTGGCAATCTAAACGCTTGAGGACATCTAGATTGGATGCATAGGATTCTATACTTAGAAGCTTCTCTTAAAGACTTATACGTCTGGGGATGGCTGACACAACGACATCTAAACTCGAGGATTTTCTCCCTAGGAATATCTAACTTATGATATAGTAGGGAGACTTAGGAGTTATGGGCACTATCTATTTTATACTTATAATTTGATATTATATAGTTTTTAATTGATCTTCACATCTCTTATAAAACATCTTCCTGTTTGATGTCTTATGCAGGTTGGCTGAGAGCATGGTAGGCGATGGATCGTGGAGGGAAACTTCCTCATTAGAGGAGGAATGTATAGTACTTGATGACTCAGTCGATACCCTGGAGGACGGTGATGACTCGGATCCCAATTATACTCCCACTAAGCGCCTATCTGAGCCAACACTTTCACCATACTATACACCAGTTAGGCTAGAGCTTCTTAGTTCTGAGTACGAGCCCAAAGAGGATGAGGAGGACACTGCCACCTCACAGGAGACTTCACCACCCTACCCCACTCCTTCAAATAAATCAATCTTACAGGACACTCACGAGTACTCGGGTGAAGCAAACCCCAAGGAAGGTTGTTGCTAACCCCTCACAAAAGAGGTCGGCATCCCCACTAGCATCACCTCCGACATCAAAAGAAATCATGTGCAAACGTCGTCTGGATGCCCCAACTATGATCCTAGGTGTAGGAGGAGGCTATTGGCTTACGGTTTGAGGTGGGGGAGTCATCCATTGCACCTTCCCCTACCTCGGCTATGATGGGTTTTAGGCATAAGAACAATCCTATGTGCTCAGACAAACCCTAATGCTTGGATCTAGGATTCTCTATTGTACATGCTTTGAATCCAAGACTAATAAACTTAGATCTAACATATTATAAACTGAATTAGGGTTTATAGAATTACCTTTGATTGTTATAAAGCAATAACAATCAATTCCTTGCTTGGATTGGCTTCAAAAGCTTAGTGCCTCAAGTGTTGCACCTCTAATGGAGTCACAAACACCATATACAACTTGGATGAAGAGGAGAAGAAAGGGGAGGCACCAAAAACGGCTGGAAACCCTAATGAAAGACTTGTCCACGTTTTTGGGGCATAGGGGCCCTTTATATACATGTAGGCTATTAGGGTTTACAACTAGGAAACCCTAATCTGACTGCTTAGGCCCTAAGCAGCCCATGGACTCCTCAAACATATCCCTTGGACGATTTCTAATGGGCTTCCCATAGAATTTGTCCAATCTATATATTATTAGGTGATCCGTAGCCCAATTATAATTATCTTATAATTACAACTTCAGTCCCCTAAGTTTAATTAATCTTTTTTAGCCACAAAATTAATTATCAATTAATTCTTGACTAATATTAATTAAACAATATGATTTCTCCTTTAATATATTATTCTCATAATATATTAATAGATCATATTTAAACCTTTCTCTCCTGATATCATCCTACATATTGCTATGGTGAAGGCAACCCAAAAGGACCATGCTCATAATCGAGTCAAGTACATACCAAAATAGTTATGGACTTAGACACAAATCCAACAGTCTCCCACTTGGATAAGTCTAATAACTATTTTCCGTATGACTTTAGAACCTGATCAGCAATCGTAGCTTTCAAAAGCCGTTGTCAACTCTGATCTTATCAGACAGCGTGTCCTTTAGATAAGGGATTATATATTCCTCCATTCTCAAGATATCGTATAGACATAAGACATGAATTTCAATCATTCTCTCTATACTGTTTCCTGACTTCCGATTTATTACGACTGACAACAGACTACAGTTGAACACATCAACTTAGTCCCGGCTTGGCCAAGCGCTTAGGTGTCATCACTAAATAATCGAGAGGCCCACAGATATCGCTTTTATCCCACTTTGGGTAAAAGGAATGGATAAACTTCGACTCAATTGCTCGCTTGCATTTACTGATCGAATCACACACAACAATAAGTTTTATAACACTAAGTTACTGGTGCGTTTACTTATTATCAATGTGTAACCGACCAACAAATAACAACTCACACGTCTCGGTTTCAAGAATATACAATATTATGGTCTCACTAATCACTCATGATAAAACCATGAAGTGATCCAAGTGAGCGTGGGTTTAATCCAATACTCTAATCTTATTAAAGCACTCATGAACTCTGCAGCAACCTTGTGCCATGTCTAAACACTTCAGACAATCTACAGACAGATTCATGACAGTCTTTATTCATACCTACTCCCAACGTATGACCAACTGTGGATGTTTGAATAACCTAGTTATTCTAGAAGTCAAAACATGCAAATTGAAACATAACAATAATACTTAATCCTATATAGCCTCAAACTTGTGAGAGTAAATAAAACACTTCTATTTAACCAACATATTGATTACTCATTATTATCGTTTAATGTTTCGGATAATCAACTCATTACTTGAATTACAACTAAAATTGTCCCATGCTCTAAGCATGCACACTTTGTTTGCTATGGTCCATGCTTTGTGAAATAGATCAATTGAAAACTTTTCCAATGATTCTCATTTCACAATTCCTCAATCCCCATTGTTAGTGTAAGAACACAAGGTTCTTTGCTACTATTAGAATATGCTAGATTCTAACATTTTACGCAACGATCCTTTCGTAAAGTCATAGCACAGAAATCACGAAGACTTGGCTAATGAAATTACAAAGTACTTTCTTAGAAATTGTTACAAGACAATTCCATAGACGTGAAGTCTCATATTCAAAGTACATTCCTTTGAACATCCTTCTTGCATAAAAGTTTCTAATCTAGACATAGATTCTTAATACCCAACTCCCAATATGGAAACATTTCCACATTTGCCATATGACAACTCATTCTTAATAGAATTTTATCTATTCATAATAATGTCGATATGGTCCATCCAATACCATACTTCCAACTACTCACAAGCGACCAATCCTCAGCGAACTTTGGATCGTCCTTTGATAGTTGTTTAATTATTTTAGTCAAAACCAATTCTAGTCCTTTTTCCCTCTTAATGCGCTAGACATTTGGAAAATTTTAGAATGGTAAATTTTATAGCATTTGCAATCGATCCTATACCCGAAGCGTATGGGACACGATGCATAATGTCTTACATGAAGATATGATACTTTACCAATCTTTTGCCATAATATTTTATGTGTTACATTCTCACAATTCGAACTATGAAGAGGGATGCCGTAATCATAATCGAATTTTAAGAACACACAATGTATCCTTTGACTAAAAATGTTAAAATTTTTCAATCTAAGCTTTAGATTTTGAAATGAAGTATAATATTCTCTCCCTTAATTATAGCAAAACAACTTTTCAACCCATGCAACTTTGCAAATGGAATCTTTGTTTTTCTATAATTAATATTGCTAACTAGCAATACTCGCCATAATAATCATACAAGCATAACACTTATGCTCCCACTATCATGATGATTATCATATAAGCATAACATTTATGCTCCCACTAGCTTTGACATGTATTCAGAAAACAAATGAACTTCCAGAAAACAATGCCTATTGAATTTTTGAAATTCATATTTCTAATAAGAAGCTTAGATAAAGGCCTATCGAAGCTTCTTAAACTTATACACCTTTGCCTTAGATAGCTCATATGTGTGTTTAAACAATCTAGAACTTATGTTACTAAGTTCCAAATATTCAAACTAATTGCCAAATCTCACAATTCGAACTATGGAAAGGGATGCCGTAACCATAATCGAATTTGAGAATACAATTTTTACAATGGCTATCTTCTTAAGATCTCTCTTAGTGAAAGCATTTCCTCACAGTCATTTTCATGAAGGAGGGAATCTTATGACACTTAGATTTTATGGTGTATGCGTTCCTATCCATGTGAATTTGCCAAAACCAAAGTTTGCGACAAATCCAAACTCATATGGAGTGAACTTTCTTAATCTTGATTTCTTGCCTTATGGTAACACGATTGCCCACCATGTCTTCCAAGTAGTTTAGTAACTTGTCCTTACATATCAATGTACTTTCCATTGACTAAGGCTCTAGTATGCATTCAATTGAGAACTCATAGAACTCACATACACAATTAACTCAATTGGAATGGCACAGAAACCAAATAATGTCAGCACGATAGGTTGTAAACCTCAAGTCGTGTGCTAGTGATGATCGACAAGGTTTATTCTTGATTTGTTTTTGAAACCTTTTCAAAAACATTAAAACTCGCACTGACTCCTTGACATATTAGATTCTCTTATTAAGAAACATTTCTTGATAAACAAATATTCAAGAGTTAGTGTAGCATTTATCAAGACAAAACACTTCACAAATTGGTCTTAGTTGTTCTTTGTCTTATCCAAGACATCACAACTTACCAATTTCAAATGTGTAAGAATAAGAAAACTTTTCCAAGTTCCACATTTGATGAGTGTTATAAACCTACTCAAGACTTTTCACTCAATGTCACAATCTTGACTCTAAGACTTGATATTGGAACGAAGTATGATTGACTTATTGATTTAACCATTTCTACAATACTTGATTCCTCTTCTTAGACATGCAATTACACTAATACTCACTTAGAGTATCTATTGAGACATGGTTCTTAATCTTTAAGACTTATCATTAACACACAATAAAAGGTACTCTCCCTTCTTCTTAGAAAAGAGAAACTTTTATCTTTCTGCCTACTTGATTCTTCTTTATTCGTTCTACTATTCATTGAAATTCTTTCAATCAACTCAGAATTACACTTAATCTTATAAGTATAATCATATTTACTAAACTTTAGTAAATCATGACGAATATCTTTGTCACTCTTGTGGTGGACTTGATCAACGCACAACCTAGTGTACTTGATCTCCTAGTCCTTCAATTGACACTTTGTCAAAGAATTAGTCTAAGTTTCCCAAATGTGAAACTTTTTCATTCATCAAACAATACACGTTGCATGATTCCAAGTTTCTGTCCAATCGAAACTTGGGCGATGAGAAACTCTCCCTATTTGGTAAACTTTTGATATTTCCACAAATAATACAATTAAGAATCAAATCCATTATTGCTAACAATAGAAACATTCAAACATCAATTTTTCATACATGCCATCGCAAGGATAAGATAAAATCAAAATTCATTTTATTGCGGAAAAAATTTTGTCCTTACAATGCAATTCAATTGAAAAACTATGTTATTACATATTTCTTAACAATCTATTCTAACTCCAAGTAGTAGCTCAAGAATCCATTCTTCAAGTCATGCGATCGAAATCCATTTCTTCATGATTAGATTCAGCTCACTTCTTTTCTCAAGCTTCCTCTCTTTTCTTCGATCCTACAAAACATCAAAATGTAATCTTATCACATCATGTATTAAGAATCTAGAATAGGAACTCAAAGGAGTTAGATAATGGATTTTACCTGGAGTAGAGCCATACGTCTTGACTCTCCCATCTCTTAGATCTTTCAGGTAGTTAGGGCAGCTTCGTCTCCAATGCCCCTTCTCTTGGCAATAAAAGCAAATGGACTCCTTTGGCACAGCACATCAGACAATCACAGACTTAGTTCTTTCTGGACTTCCAATGTTGCCAGTGTCCATTGA